ATGTTTTCTGGGAATAGTGACTTACAACAGTTTAGGTTATATCCTAGGGAACAAGTGTCCTCAATAGGAGTAAATAGGAAGGGCAAGATGTTTAATTAAGTTTTACAGAAGAAAAAGCCAGTCACTCATCTCCTGCCTGGCTTCAGCAAGGACCCTTCCAGGCTCCGTCTCTGGAGACCCCAGTCCCTCCTGCCTCATCAGCACTCTTCTGTTTCTAGGTTAAGGAGCTTAGGCTTCTCAGACATGGCTTGAGGAATATAGACTCCTAATCCAGGAGAGTAAGAAGGCTTAGAACTCTGGACGGGTGGGAGTGAGCAGTGGAGGAACTGTCTTCAGGAGTTGGGCCTCAGTGTGAGGCTGGTACCCGACTATGCAGCCCCCCTTTCAAATGCTCCTGCAAGCCTGATCTAATGAGGTCAAGGGGTGCCTACTGCCATGAGGCAGGGAGCCCTGACACTTGGCCAGGGCAGTGGGTGTCATCGTTGCCTTCCCAGGAGAAGGCACGTCAGACGAGGCCTGCACTTTATTTATTGGACTCCAGATCTGGAAGAGATTAGACCCCGGGATCCCTCAGCGAACTCTGAAAACAGGACGTGGACCACACCTGTATGCTAAAGTGGTTCCTGCCTCATGTTTCATTCTGAAAAATACCAAAGAAGGTAAGAGCTTCTTTTCTAGCCTAAAGTACGGAAATGGACGAGGCCATGAAAGCAGCAAACATATTTTCACACAGGAAATAAACATATGCTTGGTTTGGGGGCAGAGGTCAGAGAAAGCCCCTTTGTTATCTCATTGACTTTCCCAGAGAGGGCCTTTGCTGTGCATGATTCGGGGTCTTGAAGTCCTGGGTGATGAATCTTCCTTCTATTTTTGAGGGTTCATTTAGTGGACAGATAAACAATTAGCTGTGTTATTTAATGATGATGTCTGGTATGGATGATGCTAAGTCAGATCCTAGAGGGACAAAAAGTCTCGCCCATGCAGTGTAGACGTGCTGGTTACCCGAGAAGCAGGCTCAGCAGGAGGCAGGAGCAGCAGCTGGTTGCTACCAAAAGGCGCTGAACAATTCAACAATCTGAGGCTACATAAAACTAATTTTTTATGTTTGATCTTACAAATTTTTCACATTTTGCCTTGATTATTTTCTTTCTCTTTCCTATTCATTCCTCTTAATGACTTCTAAAACATTCTCAGCTGATCTGCAGACAATGCCACTTTCTTCTCCTAAGGCAGCCAAATGCAGTACCTATTTAGAGTCACTTTCTCATTTTTTTCTTATATGTAAACATTTTTGAAAAATATAGTTTACTGATTTTTAATTATAAAAGTTGTATTAGAACCGTATAAGTTAAAAATGAAACTTTCTCACCTAACCCAATTCTCCAGAGGTAATCACTGTTAACAGGTATATGCTCTTTGAGTATACTCTTATTGACATATTTTTATATGGATGAGATCACATTAAGTATACTGTTTGCAATTGCTTTTCTTTATGTGACAATGTATCTTGGAAATATATTGTACTATTACATATGGACTTGCCTTGTTTTTCGTCATGACTGATCATGGCTAAAGGCTATTCCATTGTTTTTAATGTACCATGATATATTTTGTCAACTCTGTACTGGTAAATATTTAAGGAGCTTTTTGTTTTAGGGAAATACAATTTTAAAGAAATTTCTGAAAGTTCCTTTATGTTTTTTATGACAATGACAAACATTTGCAAAGTACTCCTCATATGTAACCTTGTCTCACCCTCATAACAACCCAGGAATGGAATCACCATGATCCATATACCACAGGAACCAGACAAGGCCATGGAGCCCCACATCAGGGATCCCGCGCATCTGGGCTATTACAGTGAGAGCAGGGTGTCTGTCCCTTCTTCCCCACGACGTACGAAAGCACACCGTCTTTGTCCCTGGGAACCCAGGGTTAGTTACAACTGGATATGCTGCCTGATGGGAGACTTTATTTCTTTCACTGCTAGAGGTTGTTTTAAAGTTTGTATTGTTCCATGATAGTTATTACTTTCTTACTCTATAGCAACGTATTTATTTCTACTAAATACATATTTCTACTTTCAACTCTTTTTATGGAGTAGATGATTCGAAAAGGTTGCCTTATTCTACCCACTGTATTTGGATTTATAAATGCATAAGAAACAAGGTATTTGAATGTCAAAAGAGAACTTACATAATAACAACAATCCTTGACCCAGCAATAATCAGTATCCATCCCATTGGTTTATGCTTGTCCTAGCTCAGGCTGCTGGAACAAAATACCATAGATGGGGTGGCTTAGACAACAAACATTTATTTCTCATAGTTCTGGTGCCAGTAGATTTGGTTCCTGGTGAGAGCTGTCTTTCTACCTTGCACAGAGCCACCTTCTAGGTCTTCGCAAGGCCAACAGGAAGAGCTCTGGTCTCTCTTCCTGCTCTTACGAGTACACTAATCCCATCATGAGGGCTCCACCTTCATGACTCCATCTAAACCTAAGCGCCCCCCAAAGGCCCCACCTCCAAATACCATCACATTGGAAGTAAGGACATCAACATGTGGGTTAAGGGGGACACATTTGGTTCATAACAATGCTGCATTAGATAGAATGTCTTTTACTGCCTACTAAATTTGAGCCAAGGACATGTTTTTGATTACTGATGTTTTAAAATACATACGATACCAGATTCAGTCCATCAACCTACGTTGAAATTCTACTGTATAATGAGAGCACTTTAAAAATATTATTTATTATTCCGTGATATATACATGAGAAAACAGAGTCTATGAGAGGTTAAATGGCCAAGATCTAGTGAGAAGCTGAGCTGGAATTCACCATACCATCTGTGCACTTCCAAAATCTAGACACTTCAATACACAACATGGCTCTATAGTCAGTTTATTAATTATCAAGGCAGTTTATGAGTCATTGGTGGACTTGTCCATTGCTTTTGTCCCTTCCAACTCTAAAACGGTGTGGGATTTGGTGTATTTGTTCATGATGGCTCCTCACGTTACCTCGTGCTCAGATTCTGGTCACATCAAATCACTTACATCTGGGAACCATTTTGCTCAAAAAAAGAAAAGAACTTAGAGTCTTCTTTCCTTTGACTATTTATTTTAAAAAAGTCAATCAACAAAAGTAAGGTGGGTCTTTCATTTGGATTTGCAAGGGAAAAGATAACTACTCGTCAACAATCCCCAATATAATAACCTTCCAAAAAATAGAGGAGGGAGGGGGGGTGAGGAAAAGGAAGGGAAGGGGAAAGTCAAGGAACATATAGCAAGGACTCATGGACAAAACCGAAAGGGAAGAGCTGAGGGAGGGAAGGAGAGAGGGGGCAAGGGAAAGTGGTGGGGGGGAGGCAGAGACAAGTGTATTTGAAAAAATAAATTTAAAAAAATCCAGAAGAAAATAAACAAACAAACAAATAAATAAATAAAAGGTTACTTTCTTAAAACAAAAAACAAACAAAAAAAAACTTAGTCTAAAAATGCAGTTTGGCCAGTACTCCATTTTGCTGGAAAATGAAATAAAATGAGTCCTAAGGATAAACAAACAAATAAAAAAATAGAGGAAGGTGAGTGAGGTGAATGTGAGGGAGGGGGGGAAATATTGAAATGGAATCCACTGTTGACATTGTCAGTACATCTCACATTGCTTCCTGAAGAAGAGCTAGAGAAAGATTCATCTTTCTTGTGTAAAAATAAATACTCATATGGCATGAAGTTAATTCAGTTTGTATTTATTCCTATTATGTGTCAGGCACCATGCTAAGTTCTGGGTATAAAAATGATGAATTTGCTCACACATGGTCTTTGCTCTCAAGGAACTGACAGTCTAATGCTAGACAGACACAAGGTAGAAAATTTTAATATGGTATTGCAGTGATGGAGGTGTGAATAGGATACTCAGGAGCTCGGGGTTAGGGGGCAGTATGTCAAACTGGCTTCCTTGAGAAAGGTGACGCTTAAGGTGAGCCTTAAGAACTGAGTAGATTTAGGCAAATTAGGAAGAGTGAGATAGGAAGAATATTCAAGGAAGGAGAAAAAACAGAAAAGTTGCTGGCAGTCAAAGAGCAGAGTTTGGATCAAGTTGAGAAGAGAGATAAGGCTGGAAGAGTAGGCTTTTGAGAAGATGAGCTCTATTTGCAACACCTGGAATTCAAGGCACTCCAGTGAAAGTTTAGCAGGCAGCTGGGTATACGGGGCTGATGTTTAGGGGTGGCCTGCAATGAGATATAGATTTGAGAGGTGGGAATTGATAGTTGAAAATGTGAGTTGATTAAATCATTCAGGGAGTTTGTACGGAGTGAGAACTGTCATTTGAGACTAGAATACAAATAAAAATTGACTTTTGAGGAATAGACAGAGAAAAATGAGCTCGAGGAGAAAGAGTAAATAGAGAGGCAGGAGTAAATAAAAGGGAGTCTGGCCTCATGGAAGTCCAAGGAGTAGAATTATAATCAAGAGGTGACTTGAGGCAGATGGGCTTGCTGATGTGGGAAAGTAAGGACTGAAAAGATGAAGGCATTGGAGACATCAGCATCAAAGGTTTTGATCAACAATGAGGATGTAAAAAGTGGTCTTAAAAGGAATTGAGGAGAAAATATGTAGTCTGTTCCTGGAGGAGAAGAAAAGAGAGGTTAGATTATATCTGGAGGGATGTGGGAGGTCAAAGGATGACTGATGATGATGATGATGATGATGAATTACTTTGAGAAGAGAAGAAACGTCAGTATGTTTCTAGACTATAAGGGAAAAGCTAGTAGAAAGGTTGAAAGCATAGGAGAGATACGTAATGACAAATGGAGGAAATTTTCAGGGGAGGAACACCTTATGCACTGAGACTGGAGAGGTGACAGTTTCAAAATTTTTTATGATGTGTGAGACAAGGTTAACAGACAATTTGTTCCACCTGAACTAATACTCTGTCTGAACCCTTCTACTGTAGGTTCCCCCTTCCTTTTATCAGCAAACAGTTCACTTTCCCTCGGACCTGCTGCCTGTGTTCTGGAGAAGTATTGTTCTTTTACCATGGGAAGTGGCGCCTCAACCCAACATCATTTTGCTTTCCAGAATGCAGAGAAAGGTATGTGTTTCCCACCTCCCAAAGCAGCTCTGGGTACCCCAAAGCTCGTGTTGCTTAGAGAGGGACTTGTCAGGAAAGAAGCAAGAAACAATTATATTTCTCCTTATGCAACTCTTTAAAAAAAATCCTCACCCAAACATATGTTTATTGATTTTAGAAAGATGGGAAGGAAGAGAGAGAGAGAGAAATATCAATTGGTTGCCTCCCATACGCGCCCCAACTAGGGATCAAACCCACAACCTAGGGATGTGCCCTGACTGGGGATTGAACCTGCAGCATTTTGGTGTACAGGATTATGCTCCAACTGACTGAGCCACCCAGCCAGCGCATTCTCCTTACACAACTCTTGAACATCAGCTCCTTTGTGTGTCAGCAGAACGTTCAGTTGAGTATCTTAGGACTTGGCGAAGTATGTTTGACAGAACTAAAATTTACTTGATGGGCCAGGCTGCCCATTGAAGCTTATCGCAAACAATACACATACAAGGGAATGAAATAGGTTGGGCTGAAAGGGGATGAAAGAGCCCTCCAGGTAGAGGGTACAGCATGTACTAAGGTCATGAGGTAGGAAAGAGGAAGGCACAGTCAAGGAACTGAATGGTTTGAAGTGAATGAGATAGAAGGTGGCATGATATGAGGCTGCTGAAGTAGGCAGAGGCCAGATCACTGAGATCTTACAGAATTTTATGTTTTATCCTGAAGGCATGAAGGACTATTGAAGAATTCAAAATAGGAGTTCTATAATATAATTTTCATATTAAAAAGATCCTTATTTAAAAGACCCTTCTGGCTTCTATGAAGACGGGGTTAGAGGGGGTAAGAGGAGAAGAAGAAAGGACAGTTTAGAAGCTACCAAAGTCATCTAATCAAGAGCTGATCATGTCTTGGTCCAGAGTTGGTGGCAGTAGAGATGGAGAGAATAGGCTAAGAGGTGGAATTGGCAGAATCCTACTGGTTAGATGTATGGGGTGAAAGAGAAGGATGGGTCAAGAATGACCTCCAGGTTTCTGACTAGGGAAGCTGGATAGATGATAATACCAATTACAGGTGTAAAGATAACGGAGAAGAACCAAGTGTGATCAGAGGGAAAATGATGAGTTTATACACACTGGGTTTGAGGTGCCCATGATACATGAAGGTGGAAGTGCTGAGTGGGCAGCTGCATATTCAGATCTGGATTTGCGGGAGATGTAGGGCTGGAGATATATGCATTTGGAAGGCATCAGAGTGTAGGTGGTTGTGGAAGCCATGAGGGTCACTGAAGCAGCCTAGAGTGAGAGTGAAGCCAGATCAGGAACCAGGGACTCAGACAGAGCCATTCTTAAGCCAGTCCTTAAGCACCAGGTGGAAGAGGTTGAGCCATCAAAGGAGGCTGAGGAGAGACATCCAGATGTGTGGGGAGGAAGCAAAGGAAATGGGATGGCACCTTATTTATGGGGCACACACATCCCTGTGAGCTTGTGGCTTCCTTGTTTTCTAGTCTGACAATATGTCCCAGGCTCTTCTTGAACATTTTTGGTCCCAGGCTAGGAATAGGGGATAGGATATTCATTGCTGCCAAGTTGGTTATTGTTTCTACATTATTTTAGTGAACAGACCCAAAAAATATGTATTATTTATTTTAAAAAGTGAAAAAAATCATCATGATCAATTAGTATTTAGGATAACAACCTTAAGTATTTACTTAACAACCTTGATATTATATTTATATCTCTTTTTTAAATCTCCAATGACATTAACATAGAATTATTTAGTCTATCCTGTAATATATATACACAATAGTTTCAGAATAATAATAACAGTATTATTTTATAAACAATATGATTACTGAAAACTAAGATTTCTTTGTAGTACTTTTGTTCTTTGGCTCTATTTACTAGAGATGTACAAACTATTGAACTTTCAAGCCATTTGACATTACTGCTTTCTGTGAGGTAATGCCACCAACTTATACATGGTTATATTCACTTGTTTAATTTTTGCTTTTGATTTTTAGAAATTGATATTTTTTCACTTGGATTTAAGTTTGTTTTATAACTTTATAAAACATTTATACAGTTTCTGTTCCAGTTATTTATTGCAGCATAAAAAACTATCACAAAATTTAGTGGTTTAAGACAAGTATTTTATTCTGCTCATGATTTTGTGGGTCAGAAGCTTGCAAAGGACCCAGCAGAGTGGTTTGTCTCTGGTCCTCAGGGCAGCTGGGGTAAAGGCTCTACTTCTAAGACAGCTGTTCATGCAGTAACTGATGCCTAGGTGCCCTTTGGCCTCTCTCTTGCCACATGGTTGCCTTGTTCTTAATGTGGGATTTTAGCAACACGGTGTATTTGTGACTTGCACCCTAGCACTTAGCCTATACAAGGCCAGAGCAAGAGGAGCTCCAGTCTATTGTATTGTGCCATGGAGAAAGGATCTAAAACCATCCTGTACTTCACAGTGCCCATCTCAGTTAAAGATAACCCAGGTCCCAGAGAGAGAACTGGAAGGGAAAATAAAGAGAGAGAAAGAGACTTCACCTGCTCCGCTGGCCTAAGGAGCCGAAGCAGGTCACAAAATATAAGTATGAGGCCTGTCCGGAAAAAACCCAGCCATTGTTACTATATCAAGAACGGCTTGTGTGACATTGATGGAACCTGGAAGCCAAGGGGAGTGGACTGGAATGTGCATGCGTGAACAACGACAACTGTCATTGGGGGCGGTAGATGCCATTGAATGAGCATGTGTACTGTGTGGCCGTCACATTCAAAATGACTGAGTGGAGAACAAATCTGCATCCAATTTTGCGTTAAGCTTGGACATTCCTCTGCAGAAACTATTTGGATGACTCAAAAGGCTTTTGGGGATGATGCAATGTGTGTAAAACAAACAGAAGTGTTGTACGGATGCTGCAAAGATGGTCGAGAATCTGTTGGAAGTGATCCATGTTGTGGAAGGCATGCGATAAGCAACACCTGAGAATGTGAACGTGTATGGGCTGCAATTACCAAAGATCAGTGACTGACAGTGGGAGAACTAGAAGTTATCTGGGCATTCCAAACACTACTGTGTCCGAGATTTTGACACAGGATTGTGGTATGAAATGCGTTGTGGCAAAATTTGTTCTGTGGCTTCTGCTACCAGAGCAGAAGGAACATGGTGCTGCAGTTGCTAATGGCTTGATTCAAACTGCTACCAATGAACCAGATTTCCTCAAGAAGGTCATAAAAGGAGAAGAATTGTGAGTCTACAGCTATGGTCTGGAAATGAAGACCCAATCATCCCAATGGAAGTTGACTGGTTCTCCCAGCCCAAAGAAGGTGCAGCAAGATCAAGACCATGTTAACTGTATTTTTTGACTGAAAATGTGTTGTCCATCACAATTATGCCCCTGCAGGCCAAACAATTAATAAGGAGTACTACTTCAATATTCTTCTTGAGTTGAGAGATGCAATACGGCAAAAACGTCTGTTGCTATGGGCAACTGGTGATTGACAGCTTCATCACTATAATGTGCCTGATCATGCATCATGTCTCCTGTAGATTTTTTGGTGAAACACCCAGGTGACTCAGCTCCCCTAAAGCCCAGATTTGGTGCTTTGCAACTTCTGGCTTCTCCCAAAACTAAAATCACCTTTGAAAGGGAAGAGAGTTTTAGACCGTCAATGAGATTCAGGAAAATATGATGGGGCGGCTGATGGCAATTCTAACAAAGGATTTTGCAGAGTGTTTTAAACAGTGGAAGAGACACTAGGAGAACTGCGTGAGGTCCCAAGGTGCCTACTTTGAAGGGGACTGAGGCATCATTGTCCCATGTACAATGTTTCTTGTATTTTGTATCTTCTTCAATAAAAGTCTCTATTTTTCATAGTGCATGGCTGGATATTTTCTGAACAGGCCTTGTATGTCTTGTCGGCAGTACTTGCCTTAAAGTGCATGAGGCGAGGTGTTAGCAAGCACCATTGCAGGGAACATTGACGGCCATGATAATCCTCAGTGTTGTTTACACTTTAGTGAGAGTAAGAATCATGTGTGCAGCTTATTCAATCTGCAAATTTCTGGGTTCACTGTAGAGATTCTGATGCTGTAAATCTAGGGAAACATCCAGATATCTGTGTGTTTCCCATGAGCTCTAAAGAGTCTGGAGCACTCACCCTGGGTATTTCTCTCACTATTCTGAACATGGATTTACAGAATTCAATTGGTAGAGCTTCAGCCTCATCACTTATTATTTAGTAAGTGCCTCTGAGAAATGCTTCCAGTATGACATGTTTTTTCTCTCATAGGAAATCAAATTCAGCTTTGCTTAGTTTCCTCCCAGGTTCTTTTTTCCCACTCCACCATCATCTTTCTTAGGGAAATCAGCAAGACTTGTACTAGCTCTCTAATGCAAGCCAAGTATATGAAATCAGTCTGTCTACTCCTCACTAGGATGACCCAAGTGAACATGTGGGCTTTCCTTCGTAATCCAGCTTTATCTACAAATACTTCATTCATCAGCGGCAGCACATCCAGGCCTTGGAGCTTAAGAAGAATGTAGTTACTGATGCGAACAATGGTCCTCTTCTCTGGACCACAGGCCCTAAAGCCCATGTGAAGAGTTAAACATACTCATGCCGTCCTGTGGTAACAGTCACCTAGCACAGCTCCTGGCAAAAGGAGAAGCCCAAAGTCTGCCTGTGTATCTGACAGTCAGCACAGTCACAGAAGTATTGAGATGGGGACACTTACAGCCTGAAGGGAGGTCAGAATATGGGGACAGCCAGCACAGAACCACCCGACATTATAGTGTGTAGTCACTGGTGTGTTTTTTTTTGTTGTTTGTTTTCCCCAGTCATCATCTAGTTCATCACCTTTTCCAGGTGAGGACATTGAGGCCCATGAAGGTGACTCCCCTGAGGCCACAGAGCTGGTCATGGCAGTTTCAGGCCCAGAACCCAGATCTCCTGACAGCCAGTCTGCTGTTACCATATCAAAGTGCCCCCCACCCCTACCTGCTGTATCATCCCACTTTTCAAGGATGCTATGTCCCTGCAGTCTCTCCAGTTTTCTTATCTGTCTCAGAATCCTGACAGTCCAACCTTTTCATCTTCACTCATATGAATGTTTTCATTAAAAAGTGGGAATTCCAATAACCCTGCAGTGATAGGAATATAACAAAGAGGTAAGAATGGAGGTGGTGTGGGGGGCATGAATGGGGCAGAGGGCACTCCAGCCAATGGAAAGGCAAGTCCTTCCTACCAGCAGCAAGAAGTAGTGCTTTCCCTACCATCTTGTCCCTTCGTTACAGTGGGAGAGGCGCCCCTCACCTTCCTCCCGCAGGCCCAGAGAACCCCAGCTCACAAGCTTGCCTCTCTATCCATGTCACAGCCTTCAAGGCAGCGGTCCTGATCCAGAGGTGGTACCGGCGCTACATGGCACGCCTGGAGATGAGGCGCCAGTGCACCTGGAGTATCTTCCAGTCCATAGAGTACGCTGGGCAGCAAGACCAGGTCAAGGTGCGGTAGGATGTGGGATGGGGCTGCCTCCAGCTCTGTCTTCTTCTAGCGCCTGGGCAGCAAGGCCCAGGTGCCCAGAAGGTACAGCCAATCTGAACCACTCCTGGGTTCTCTTCTCACTCACCTCTAAAGCCAAGTCTCCTTGGGTTCTTCCACAGCTCCACGATTTCTTCAGCTACCTTGTGGATCACTTCACCCCCAGCAGCCACAATGAGAGTGAGTATGAACAGCCACATGGCACATCCTCCTGTCTCTGGGTCAAAGACCTGGGGTGAGAAGGGGGATGCACAGAGAGTGAAGAAAACATAAATCTGGTGACAGCCAGGAATGAGCAGGACAATAAATAAATGACAGAGCAGACTTGTAACCTGGGTTCTTCCAGAAGCACACCTGGGGACAAGAGTTTGAGTGCAAGAAGTTTATTTGTTAAATACAAGAAACAGGTGGGTGGGGAGGGAGCGGGAAGGGATTCAGGGAGGGGAAGGCAGCCAAGAGAGGGCAGCCTACAAAGCCAGTAACTCTACATACCTTGGAAATAATGAGAAACATGCTCCTCAGAATGATCCCACCTGATCAGGCTGAAGGGACAGGAGTCTACATGGCAGCTCCTGAGTCACTGGTTGAAGCTGCTGAGGGCCAGACAGGAGGGGGTGTTAATTTCAAAGCATTTCGGGCCAGCCAAGCGCGGCTTTCTGTGGACCCAGGAAAAAAGCCCTCAGTCTAGAGATGCGGGCCAGGCAGTTACAAATTGCCAGAGAGATCTGAGGAGTAGGCCACCTTCACTAGGTGCACCATAAATGCCTCTGAACCTTTTTCCCACCATGGCTTTTCCTTTTCTTCTTAACAAACCTAGGCCCCTAAATTTTCATCTTTTTTAAGTCCGACAAATATCTTTTAAGACAAAAGTAGAATGGAGCTGACCTAAGGCAGAACCTTTGCCTCCTTCTCATCCTAACTTGTCATCACTTTTTCCTTTTCTTTCTTCTCTCCTGAGCTGGAGCTGATGACAGGCTGGTCCTCATAATGTCGTTTAAGTCAATGTCCTTTTGTTACAAGGTGAACGAGATTCTGTAGGAACTTAACTCTTGTTTATATCCAGTAGACTATAGTAAAAAACTGGTTTTGTTATGTATTGTTTTACTTAAAGTCACTGATTGATTGATGACATTAAGTAAGGACTTACTGTCCAGTCCAGGGGAAGACTGTTCTGTGTTGCCTGTGGACTGACTGCACATCTGATTGTAAGCTGGCCACCCTTTCTGTCCTGACTAGAGGACTTCCTGAGCCGCATGTTCACTGAGGAGAGAGTGCCCCAGGACTCTGAGATGGAGAAATGCAGTGACTATGAATCCATAGAGGTGCCAGACAATTACACGGGGCCACGCCTCTCCTTCCCACTCCTTCCTGACCATGCAATGGCCCTGGTAGAAGCCTTCAGGCTGAAACAAGTAAGCTCACCGGGAACCTGAGTCACCACCTTCTCCATGGCATGAGCAGACCAGCGCAGAAGGACTGGCCCCAGATTTAGGGTGTTTGTGTCATGGGCCCACTAGAGAAATTCTACTCCCCCTTTGCTTAGCCAAAATCTGTGATCAATCACCAGTTCCTATGCACTGAAAACTTCTCCTAACCATGTAATCTCCCTTTGTTCATTCATCCCAGAAATAATTATTGGGCACCGCTACATGCCGGCCCTGTTCTGGGCACTGGGGATACGGCACTGAGCAAGACAGACACAGATCCTTGCCTCTGTGGGGCTGACATTCTAGTGGGAGACAGACAAATAATAAGTAACAATAAATGAGTAAATTTAATAATCATTCTCTCCATTCAGAACAAAATCCCTGCACATAGCCAGACCTTCCCTTGTTAGAACAGTTTATTTATTAATACTTGACCAGGCCCCAATTATGTTTATTATAAATTATGTATATTATAGAAGGTGGTAAGATCTATGCAAAACAATTAAGTTCTAAGTGGGAGAGATGGCAGTTTTATAGAGTGGGCTGGGAAGGCGTCACTGAAAAGTAACTTCTGAGCCAAGGTGGAAGACAGTGAGGAAGCGTGCCATGTGGGCCTCTGGGGAAGAGCGTTTCAGGCAGAGGGAATGAACAGAGAGGCCCCGAGGCAGGACCCGCCTGGACTGCTCAGGGACCTTGGGAAGGCCACTGTGGCTAGAGAGGAGGGAGCCAGGGAAAGAGTATTAGGAGATGGAGGCCAAGAAGAAAGGGGGCAAACTTATTCTTCGGAAAGAATAGAGAGACATTATGCATAGGAAGGCTATCATCTGGCTATCTTTTTAAAGTAATCATTATGTTTGCTTAATAGAGGGAGCAAGGGCTGAAGCAGGGAGAACAGTCATGAAACCATTGCAATAGTCCAGGCAAAAGATGATACTGGCTTGAAACACTGATGGTAGAGGCAGTGGTGGTGAGAAGTGGTCAGATTCTGGTTCTGTGCCAGATTCCAGTCCTTCCCCTCTTTCATATGAATTAACTCATTGCAGGAGGAGTTAGGGTGGTTTTCCCAGTAAGGCCAGGATCACTGGGTATAATCAGCATGCATACACTTACTCATACTTCGCTGAGATAACAATCTATTTCTCCCCAGCTAAACGCAAGAGAGCCTTTCACAGAGCAGACAAAGGAAATTAGTTTAATATTTGGGTGATGGTGAAAAACGGAAACAAAAGTAGAAAATGGGTGAAAAAGAAAGGATCTGTGCATAGGGTCTCCAGGGGCAGTTTTGAGGCCTTGGGTGATTGGGAAGGCCCACTGTCCCTCACGAATATCATTGTTGGTTTGTTCCCTCCCTCCACTTCCTCCTAGTAGCAGCTACATGCTCACTACGTCTTGAATCTTTTGCATGAGACCAGAAAACATCTGGTACAACTGCCAAACATCAACCGGGTCTCAACCTGTTACAGTGAGGAGATCACAGTGTGTGGTAAGAGCCGGTCCGAAATGGTGTTATGTGCTAGACCCGAACAAAGAATCTCTGCCTGGATGGGGAAGGAGGAAAGGCGGGGCTGTGGGGAGACTCAGCGGCCATGTGGGTGAGCCAAGTTCACCCTTCACACTGAGAGCAGTTGCAAATTCACTCCCCAGTTACTTAAAGTAGAGGTGGTGCAATGAAGGACTCAGGGACCACAGGGCCCAGCCTCAGCTTTATTTTCACCAGCAATTTATATTTGACCCCAAACTCATGCTCTTCATTCAGAGCAAAATCTCTGCAAGTAGCATGACCCTCTCTTGTTAGAAGGGTTTATTATTACTTGACCAGGCCCCAAGGCCTAGTGAATTATTCCTGCCATCCATAGATACTCTCCCAGAAGGAAATCCTGTTAATGACAATTTTCTCCATCTCCTAATATTTTCAATGATCTTTTAACATACATTATAGATTGACACCCCACACTTTAACTTAGGGGAGGAAGACTGGAAAATCAGGTATATCATAAATTGGCACTTCTGAGCCACATAGAGCCTACAGATAGGTCCTGAAATGGTCTTAAATTTTTAAATTAGTGTCTGATATTTCAAAATTAGAGGACTTCATATTAAAATCCAGATTTCCAACTTCTCTTAAAAAATCTTACAAGATTGACCCATAAGTGAATTGCAGCTTCCTATATTAGATAGGGCAAAATCTCATTCTCCTCTGGGTTTGCAATTCTGTCTCATCTTTGCTTCGGTAAGAATACAGGTTGTTTACTATTCATGATAATCATACAGGAAAAAGTATTGTGCTCTCTACTTTCGATATTAATTTTCCCTGCAACAAGGGAAAGTAGTATTTACCTTTATCTTGCTGATGGAAAAATGAGTAACTGTAAGTTCTTAATCTTGTCAGTTTTTTTCTGGGTATTTTTAATAGTGAAAAATGAGAAACAATGGTAAGAACCAGTCAAAACTGATATTCTTATTCTATTTTTGTTAGGAGATTTACATGGCCAATTGGATGACTTAATATTTATATTTTATAAGGTAGGAATGTTCAATTTCAGTTCCTGTCTTGTTCTGAGGTTTAATTTAGGAGTTTGAATACAGTATCTATTAAACAAATTATTAAGTATTGCTTAGATTTAAAAATATTAAATATACATAGTATATTAATACATAAATAAAGTATTAGAATGCATAGTAGCAAATATATAATATAAAAGCCAGCATTGCATTATATTCTACTATATATTTGTACAGTTTAAAAATTACAAACTCTGATGTTAATAAAGAGAAGGAATCATTATTCAGCAATTGATTTTCTTTTTTTAAATAGAGAAAATTATTTATTATCAAAGCAATCAAAAGCTATTTTCATAGCCACTTTTAGTTATAAAATGTAGAGCATATAACAACATATATAAATATTCTATTAATGTAATATAACTTTATATAGATACTACATTTCCCAAAGCATTTTGCCATGTATTGTCTTGTTTAATCCTGAGGAATCTATGGCAGCTGCTATTGTTAATTAAAGATAGTGCAGCCAGAACTTAAAACTGGACTTTGGGTCACAAGTTCAGTGCCCCTCGCACATACCACCCGATAACACTCTGGCTTTGTATGAAGTATTTATTCTGGTGAACATGTCATAACCTCTGGTTGGCTGGAGAGGACATATAAACCCAGTAGAAATTATTTCCATCTTTTACTGGCATTTCACATTTGGAAGAAAGCCAGATCACTCAGAATTGGTGTTAGATCTGATGTAACTGTCAAATACACGGCGGCTTAACCTGATTTCCTCCTTTCTTCTTTCTCTGCCTCTTCTTGGACTGGTCTCCTTGTTGGGAAGAATGGCCTCCCATCACCAGAGCGAGCCTATGTGTTCAACGGTGACTTTGTGGATCGAGGCAAGGATTCACTAGAGATCCTGATGGTTCTTTTTGCCTTCATGTTGGTTTACCCCAAAGAGTTCCATCTTAACCGAGGAAACCACGAGGACTACATGGTGAATTTACGGTACAAACCAGAATGTGCTTGGATATTTGATATTTACTTGTTGCAATTGTAAAAGGTTACTTTGTCAGAGAGCTTATTTGTTAGATGCTTTTTAAAAGTAGTTTTTCAATTTTATAAAGTAGAATACACAACATACAACATTTTAAAATATTTTTTAAAATTTTACACATTATCCTACCATTCTAATAAAACCATTCAATTTTTTCACAAATTCATATTCTTTATCGTATAAACAATAAAGGTTAACTATAGAAAAAGTAAGAAATATGGATAAGCAAAAGAAAGAAAATTAAGATATACAATAATTTGTCTACCCAGAGAAAATGTTACAACTGTAAACATGTTGGCAATTAGTCCCTTTTCTATATAGTTAAGTACATGTATATAGAATATGCATTTTATAAAAATCCAATTGTGCCATAACTATTGTCGCTAACTTTAATATCTAATTTTGCTTCTAAATCTAGATATGGCTTCACCAAGGAAGTGATGCATAAATACAAGGTGCGCTGCCTTTAAAAGCAAAAGTTTCTTTAAGTTGAGTGAATTGTTTGAAACTCAGTATCATGTTCATATCATTTTTTCAGGTGCATGGCAAGAAAATACTAAAAATACTGCAAGATGTTTTCTGCTGGCTTCCACTGGCCACTCTGGTTGATGAGAAAGTCCTGATTCTTCATGGTGGGGTGTCAGACACGACGGACCTAGAGCTTTTGTCTAAACTAGACAGGCACAAGGTACTGAATGGATAATGAAATAGTGTAAATTTTACCAAAATGCCCAGTTTCACTGTCAACATAAAATACATGTCATCTTGCATGCTGCCTCCAGTAGACAAAAAAGGGCTGTTAAGAGAAAACACTAGAACAGCAATTTTTAATCTTTTTCACCTCATGGCACCTATAAACTAATTACTAAAATTCTATGACACGCCAAAAAATATTTTTGCCAATCTGACAAGAAATAGGTGTAATTTTGATTCATTCACATCAGAGGGCTATTGCTGTGTTGGCTGTTGTCATTTTTTAAAAAATTTGATAGCTTAAGGGAAAAAAGGATGATAGTGCCCCTGGTGAAATTGTTAGGCATTGCATATTTTAAAATTCTTGTGGCACACCAGTTGAAAATCCTTGGCTTAGACCATTAAAAGAAGGACTGAGAATCCCCAGCTGGGCTCAAGGAGCACACGTGCTGTGACCAGCTAGTGATGTTTGCCATGGACATGGTGGTGGGGAACTAGTGCCACGTGTGTCCATCCCTGACCTAACAGCAGTTGGAATAGAGAAGTCAGAAGGTACTGTTCAAGGGTAAGAGTCTATGATTAAAAGAAAACAGTTCTGTTACTTATAGTTATGAGACCTTGAACAAGTTATTTAACTTAGTGAACCTGTTTCTAAGTCTGTAAAATAGGGATATGAATAACTATGTCATAGACGTTGTGAGAATTAAATGAAAATATCGCTTCCACCTTTCGAAATGTATACTCAATAAGTGGAAATTGTTTTATGACGTGGCAGTGAACTTCAAATAACAATGGCTTAGTGTTTATTTCTTTCTCATGTAAATAAAAGCTGGAGGCAAGCAGTCCAGGGCTGGCAGAGCAACACCACAAAGCCATTAGAGACCCTGGTTCCTCCGGCCTGGCCGCTCCACCTGTTGCACCGTGGCCCAACATGGCGACTTGAGCTCCCACAGTCGTGACCCCATCCTAGCCAGCATAAGTTAGAGAGCCTTAGAAAGGCATGTTTCTTCACTTTAAGGGATTTGTTTGTACACACAATTTCTGTTCAGTACTTTGTTCTATGTCAATACCTAGCTGAAAGGCCTGTTGGAAAGTGTAGTCTTTATTTCAGGTGATATCTGTAAGAATCCGGGTTTCTCTTACCAAGGAAGAAGGGTTGACAGGTGCTGGGGCAGCAACACTGTTTAGTCCGTCCCTGTGGCTCCCCAGATTTTGATGTGTACCTTTCTTCCCACACATAGAACCATTCTCATCCCCTCCCCTGGGAAGTCTACACCCAAGTCTCATCCAATACTTGTATCCAGCTCAAAGTGTGAGGTGTCTGGACTCAGGTCCTACCTATTAAGTTTGATCATGGTTCCTTGTGGTCTGATGACTAAAAGATAAGTTACTGTCCCTACACCCAACTCCTGTTGGAAGAGGAAAAGGTTAACTGTTTGGCAGAGGTGGAGGAGGGACGGCCTGCAACATTTTCAATAGCTCCCTCCAAAACTCCTCATAAAATCCCCTTTCAATGTCTCCACAATCTCAACCCTTTCACATTTTTGATGGAGAGAGAGGGTCCCTGGTGATATGAAATCAACTCTTAGTATTTCCTTTGTCTGTTTTGCATGTTGTGTGGCACTTCCTGTTTTTTTTCAGTTCAAACATTTCTATTCAGCTGTATCCAGGCAGAAATAGCAAGTCATGGTAGAGCAGATTATCTCATGGGAAGAATAACATTTAATTATGTAAACACAGGAGAAGCAGAAACTTTGGGAAAGAATGCTAGAGGACAGTGTATTTTCTGAAGCTTAGCAAAAAGCTAATTTCCGAACAGTTGGTTTGCAAAGCTCTGGGGAGGAGTGATGTAGGGATCTGTACAGAGTCCCAGGACCACTTGGGAGGAAAGCACAAAATAAAATGGGCTCTGGGGTCAGTTATCTGGATTCAGTCCTGGTACAGCCTTGGTATCTCTGTGCGTCAACTTTCTTCTCTCTACTATAAAAAGGATGCTATCTCTTAGGGGTATGAGGGTTAATCAGTTAATTTATATAAAACTATAAAAGGATGCTATTTCATAGCGATGGCCTCAGGGTTCATCAATTAGTTCATGGGAAGTGGACAAAACAGCACCTATTTGGAAAGGGCTCTCTATATATTAACAGTGTCATTCTCCTTAAGAATGAAAGTTGGCAATGCCTCTTAGAGCAGAAAAGAACATTCTTAAAATACAGTTGCTTGAGGGTTGAAGGGGTGGACTGATGGACTGTCCCTCAGTGTGAGCCGGCAATGAGAAGAGCAAGAGGTGACCATGAGTCCATTCATGTTTTGTGGCCTTTCACTCTCTGTGCCCAGGGCTGGAACTGCCTAGGAAATAATTAGTGTCCCACTACGTGGCAGCTATAGGGGCGCACCGCCGCGGGGGAGCGCCGCAGAGAGTGCAGCGCTCCCTGAAACCTGAGGGAAACTGGCTGGGGCCAGCCGAGGCGGGAGCAGGGCTCTGAAACCCACAGAGCCTGTCCCGGGGTTGTCAAGGACGAGGGGGGTAAAACACAAAACATCTCAAACACTTCTCTGTTTGCTGGGAGAGCCGACGGGGACACTTCCCTCTAGAGAAGGCCGTAGCACATCCCTCTAGTGGGGAAGGCCCCATTGCCCTTTGTTCCAAGGCTTTAATGAAAAACTTATCAGAGGGCTAGGTAACAGGAACGCATATGTACACTCGTTACATTAGCATGTTAAGGCTCACAGAGAATAGATACCTTTAAGAAAACAAGTGACAGGAATTCACTGATTTACATGGGTCTGAGAGGAGACCAGTCTAAACAAAAGAGAATGAAGACAAGGGCAAACGCCTTAATGATAAAGGGTAAGGGGTGTAATTACTGTGAAGGTCCTTCGCAGCATGAGCTGGCCAGAGATCTGAGGGAGGGACAGAGCACACTCTAAAGAATTTACTTTTAGGCCTGATCACCCTGGCAACCGCCAGATCTGATTTAGGGCTGTTCTTCCTGCACTGTTTCAAGCCTGAGCCAGGCGGCGGGGAGGGAACCATCAAGAGATAAGGAGACAGCTTCTCGGCTGCAATGAGGACTCCGGCCACGTCCAAGCCAAGCCGAGAGGTGTGAGGGCCTTTTTGCCCCTTCTCTGTGTCCCCCAATTTCTGGTCTGCTGCCAATATCGGCCAATACTTGTCTTAGGTTGTTTACCTCAGTGCAAGGTAACTTACCTATCGTTGGCCATTGACCATCCGTGGCAAAGCAGAGAGGCAGGGGCCATGCCCCTGCCAGCGGGGGACAGGCCAAGTCTCCTCAGGGACCTGCTTTCCCAAGGCCTCCTGAGTATTTCCAGCCTTGGGGCCCTCCAGCCTGTCGGCGGGGTTACAGCTCCTGAAATGAGGCCAGGTGTTTCCCAACAAATTAGCATTTGTCCAATGTTAGAAAATAACCTCTGTTCTATTCTCTTTGATCTGGATTCCTCTTCAAACGTCACTCAGGTTCTGCTGACCCTCTCTGAGTGTACTTCTTTGTTCGTGCCCTAAGCCAGTTCACACCGGGACATGGCTTTCTGGTTTCACAGTCCTTCTGTCTACTTGCAGAAGGTTCTTATTCTTTGATTATGTGCTAGAACAGAGATCCCGTTGTGAACCAGACCTTTGTCATTGATATCCTGGTGAAAGCCGTGTCCCTCAGTTTTCACTGTGGCACTCAGACCTGCCAGGAATGGCCACTCAATGTCACAGCCCTGCTCTGGGGCCTGACCCCTCGCTTTCCTGTGATCAGAGTTCTGTCTGCTTGTGTCCTCTACGTTCTCAGCCGGGTGTCAGTACCATGGTGACTCTGAGTCAGTGAAAGAGACCATACTCAATTCTTCTTCTCAATTAGGCTAAAAAGAGGTGTTCCCTTCCCCTATCCTGTCCTTCCTCAACGGTGAGATTGCAGGTAAGACAGGACAACCTGTAAGTGCAACCCCACAGCAAGTGTCAAGTTTTTTCTATTCCATTGTTTCTTAACCATAAGCTGTGTCTTCTCCTCTGCTTTCAGTATCTGTGAAACAGCAGAAAAGCCTGTAAGCACTCACCATCCAGAGAGAGGGGCGCCCTTTCTCATCCTTGTCTTAAAATCACTACTCTCCCTGACAGAAACCATGGCACAGGTTAACATTTATCAAATAATCTGTGCTGAAGGACCAGGTTTTATACATTTCCTATTTGGCAAAGATTAATGCTCTTGTAAAGTACAACATATATAATTCATATATATGAATTCCTAGAAAAATGAAATTCAAACAAAAAATATAAACCCACTGACCATGCGCTTGAATTTCATAGCCATATCAAATGGCTAAAACAGTTTCCAAAGGCTCACTCTCAAGTTCTGTGACTGCCTTATCCTGAGCCAGAACAAACGGCTCACAGGCCAGGGCTTCTCCGTGGACTCCCATGTAAGGAGCCCTGGCATGATGCCAAAGCGCTACTCGACGAGGACCTCTGGTTCCATTCATCACCTGTGTGTTTTCTGGACATTTGTAGATTGTTTCCACCTTGAGGTGCAAAACAAGAAAAGAGAATGAGAAGCAGGAGGAGGAGAAGGGAAAAGCCAAGCAGACGAGCTCTGCAGGGAGACCCTCCCCATGGTTTCTTCCCCAGAGCCACCCTCTCCCCTCTTCACCCATTTGCCTCAGCTCCCACCAGACACACAAAGCTGGACGCTCCTGCAGCGTCCCCTGCTGTGGCCCTCTGGACCCCAGAGAGCTCTCCCGGCAGGTGAGGCGCTCCGTGGACCTGGAGCTGGAGAGATGCTGGCAACAAGCTGGCTTCCCGGTGATCAAGGAGAAGGAGGAGCCCTGGCTCTTCATGGCAGACGCCGACTCTGAAGCTAGGGAGCTGCTGGAGCCCACTCGGGAGGAGTGGAGGCAGGTGGGTGTGGCCAGGTGCTGCAGCCTGGAATTTGGCTCCCGTCAGGAGGGACCACGATTTAAAAAAACAGATCAAATCTCATCTTTCCATGTAAATTCAAGGTTTTGTTTGTTTGTTTGCCTCTCTCTATCCCTGGAGTTAGAACATCCCCCAAAAGATACTAGTATTTGCCTAATGACTCATACATTTTAGAGTTTTAGGAAGGATGGGAAGATGTCACAGTTAGTCTCTATTGCCTGAGTAAACTTGATTTAGTGACCTGGCATCACTGGGGTAAAAGGTAAGCCATGACTTCTTGGATGCTACCATATGTTTTGTTTTCTGTTAATTTGTTTTTTAATGTGTCAGACGGGTGTCTGCTGTAGCTCAAAGGCAAAAGGGCTATGTCAGTACCTTCTGTCCTCTGTTATCAGGCAATCAAAAGCGTTTCCAAAATCTCTGGAACCGTCTCACGTGGCCACCCCTAGCTGCAAGGAAGACTGGAAGATCAAGTATTTAGCTTGGCACAATGCCACCCCAGACACCCAATCAGAGTTTTCTTAGCATGGAAAATGAATGGATGTTGAGGAGATATTCACAGCGCCTGCCAAAATAGAGGCATACCTCGTTTCATTGCACTTCACTTTATTGTGCCCCACAGATGTTGCTTTTTTTATTTTTTTAACCATCGAAGGCAAAACCCTGCATCAGCAAAAAGATTACAACTCACTTCATTGTGGTGGTTTAGGACCAACATGCAATATCCCTAAGCTGGGCCTGCAGCTGACTCTGGCAGCCAAATGAAGGCACATTTCACTAGGACAAGACTGTGGCAGGGAGGCCCCTTCAAAAACTGTTACTGTAATCCAAAGGGAATGAGGTGGTGGTCTTGTGGAGTAGTGTTAGTAGAATTATGTGAACATGTTGGTATTCAACCATTTTGACCTAGAAAAATGCCAATTTTTAATGGTTCATCCAATAACAAAAAGGAAAGAACTCAGGATTATTTGAAGGCTAACATTAATAGAACTTGCTGATTGATTGGATGGAGGGTAGTAAGAAAGAGGTGGAGTTGCACCTAATTCCTCAGAGAAAGAGGTGGTGAGTTTAATTTGTATTCTCCCTGAGTTATCGACATGGCCTTCAATATCGGCTCAGAACCGACATTTTAAAACACGAGTCTCTTGACCTGCAAGACATGACTCAACAATCATGTGCTGATATTTATACATCAGATGCATTTTTCCCCTTCAAAGCACATTAAAGAAAGTGTTAGGTGTCAACAACTAGAATACACCCAATTATTTCACAAGTTGGGTAAAACTGGTTATCAGTGTTTTCCTGAGCAGTAACAATAGAAAAGATTAGAATCTACATTGCTAGAAAAATTGCTCAGCTCCTCTTCAAGTTCTTTTAAAAATCCTGCAATTGCTTTAAGAAATAAAACATCCTCCTGCACTTTCCTCGGACCACGTCTGGGCCCTGTGAATGTTGCACGAGAGGCTCCCTTGTCGGTCCCGGGATGCCTGCCTTCCCTCTGGGGCAAATGTCCAGGAGCCTGGAGTGGTGCTGACTGACGGGTGCTGGCCAGGTCACAGCCTCTGTCAGAGCAGCTCCTTTTTTAACCTATCTATTGAGCTTTCAAATAAGATTTATTTTCAAGAAAGTGGGCATATACTTGTCCAACAATATGCGCATATACCTGCTCTTTTTGTGAGTAATAAAAAATTTGGGAACCATAGAGGTCCAAAAAAATGTATGTGTCAAATATTGATTGCATGCAAATGTATTCACTTTCTTCTAGTCAAATTTTTTTTCTTCTCTTCCTGCTTTTCCTGCTCTTCCTCCTTCCTTAGAAATGACTCTCAGTGAATATGTGTCTAGTTTTTAGGAAAGACACCATTTCTTGTTCTTTCCAGGTCGTAGATATACTGTGGAGTGATCCCATGGCTCAGGAGGGCTGCAAGGCCAACACTGTTCGAGGAGGAGGCTGTTATTTTGGGCCAAATGTGACAAAACAGTTGCTACAGAAATACAACCTGCAATTCCTGATCCGCTCACACGAGTGCAAGCCCGAAGGCTATGAATTCTGCCATGGCCGCAAGGTGGGTGGGCCCTGTGCAGTATCACAAGAGTGGTCCCTACTGCTCCTCCCAGGCCTGGATGGGCAAAGGCTTTTCACAATCAGCTGTGCCTTGTATTTGTTATCCTCTTGCTCATAGTAACTAGGTCCTTTACAGTCATTTATCCTTGACTTTCATAGCCTTTTTATTTTTTTATTATTGTTTATTCTGTTACAGGTGCTCCAACTTCCCCTTTTGCCCCCCTCTGCCCAGCCCACACCCCGCTCCCACAGTCAATCCCCACACTGTTGTCCATGTCCTTGGGTCTTTCACACGTGCTCTTTGACTAGTTCCTTCCCCGTCTTTCCACCATTATCTCCCTTCCCCCTCCCCTCTGGCAGCTGTCAGTCTATTCCTTGTTTCCTTGTCTCTGGTTCTGTTTTCCTTGTTAGTTTATTTTGTTCATTAGATTCCTCTTATATGTGAGAGGTATATGGTATTTGTCTTTCACTGACTGGGTTATTTCACCTAGCATAATAGTCTCCAGTTCCATCCATGCTGTTTCAAAACGTAGGACTTCCCTCTTTCTTTCTGTTGGGTAGTATTCCATTATGTAAATATTTTGAGTTTTTTGATCCACTCATCTATCGATGGGTACTTAGGCTGTTTCCAGCACTTGGCTATTGTAAATAATACTGCTATGAACATAAGGGTGCATAGGTTCTTTTGAAGTGGTGTTTTGGGATTCTTAGGATATGTTTCCAGCAGTGAAATCACGAGCCTCTTTGAAACTCACAATTTGATTGAGGCCACCGCTCACCAATACTCTGAGAGGTGAGTAAGGGGAAGTATGCTCCCGTTTCCTGGGTGGACATACGGCCTGGTGTTTTCCCAGACACACCTCTATTGTTTAAGTGACATTGCTCACTGTCACAGGTCTCAGAAAACACTCCAGGGCAACAGGATTTCAGCACTGTGCCCCAGGCGGGGATTCTGGATAGTTTGTCCCCTCAGGAGCCTAACTAATGTTCTGACTAATCCTTGCACATCTCTAAATCCTACAATGTTTTCCTAGCCTAATGCCATAGAGGTGAGTGTATTCCCAGGAATACTACCTCAACAGAAAACCAACAGGCTTCCATGTGAAAAAAAGTTGGAGATCAAGTGGTGCAAGGAATGTTTGGTTAAATGCTTATATAAGTTTCTTCAGTGCAAAACTTCTGAGAACATTTGATTTCCTGTATTCATTGTGAATCTCCAAGAAAAGATGCAGTGACTAACATTTCCCAGTGTATTGACAATGGAAACTTTTTCACAGAGCATTTCAGGGGGCACTGCGCTGACTTGAAGCCTCACAATAGCTAATAATTGATCTGCTTGCTAATTGTAATGGCCATCCCAGTTTGTTAGACCCAGTTCACCTCTCAGTGGAATCAATTAAGCTTTTTCTAGGACCCCTACTATTTTTAATTAGGATAAAAATGTGAAGAAAATATGCTGTGGATGTTCTATCAGAGTTCCAGTTTTTATTACCTGACTCACAACTCCTGCCCTACTAGCATTGATGGCTTAAAAAAAAAAAAAAAAAAAAAAAAAAAGTCCTGTAGGTGAGGTCAAGGAGAAATGGCAACTCCTGAAATTGAGCTGATCCTTCTAGGTTTCAGGGCAAAGAGTTGTTCAGTGAACCTGCATGGCTGTCTCTCTCCTCTTATGTTTTAGGTGTTAACCATCTTCTCTGCCTCCAACTACTATGAAGTTGGCAGTAACAGAGGGGCCTACGTCAAACTGGGGCCAGCCCTGACCCCACACATTGTACAGTATCAAGCTAACCAGGCAACTCACAGACTGACCATGAGGCAAAGGCAAGACTTCCCAATGAATGATTTTCAGAAAAACAGAATTATAGTGTGTATAGACTCTTTGAAGTGGCAAATGTTCTTACATTTATCTAAATTCTAAGTGAGAATTCAGAATTTAGCCGTCAGCAGTTAAGGTCGATCTACAATAGACATTATAGGCAGGAGTCTCTTTCTTCTCCAAACACGTGGAAGTCTCTACCTCCCCGTCATTAATGGAAGAAACAAATGTGCTTTCTGAAAGTCTGATTTAATTAAAATTATTCTCGGTGGGTGCATATTGAGTAAAGTCCATAGACCAGGCCACCAACTCTTTCCAGGATCACTCTTCTGTTTTCTCTCATCCTTAAAGAATCCGTGCTACCCCACAGACCCCGACAAAGGTTCTTTCACCCTCTGGATTTGGCAGATGGACTTCACAGTACACATATATTAGCAATGGTCCTCCTTCCTGGAAAGGCAGCATATAATATTACTTAAATGGCTTATTTTGTGCTGATTCTGAATTGTAATCTTTGTTGGAACATACCACACATTATTATGAAAAATTGGTGTCTCATAATGAACTTATGAAATACACATCATGTTAATAATTTTCAGTTTTATAGATGAGATCATTAAGGAAAAGAGGTGAAATCAGCTGGCCCATGGTCACAGAGCTAATAAGCAATGAACGTTTGCCTTGACCCAGGAAGTTGTATTTTAGGGCTCACACACTTAACAACCATGCAACACTGCCTCCCATCAAGACGTCCCCAGAATATAAAACTATGAAGAGATACAGTTTTAGTGGTACCAAAGAAGATTTTTAAATTATCAGATGAACTAAATTAGAAATCAAAACAAAGTTAGCATAAATCTAGTGGAAAGAACACATTAATATTTAGCATCTGCCTTGTGTGAGTACTATGAAAGTACCTTATTTTAAATTACTCTTGGGTTATGAAACGTTCAAATTATTAAAAAACCAAGGCCAGCGTTACTTAGAAAAAGAAATATTATGTGGAAATTTAAACTCAACTAGTAATAGTTAAACCTACTGTGCAGCAGAATCATCTGTAAAGTTTTGTTTAAAAAAAAATAAGTTTTCTGAACCTCATCCCAATCCTACCAAATTAGAGTATCCAAGGGTGGGCCCCACACACCTGAAATGCCTTGATTTCATGTGATTCCAGTGTTGTCACTACAAAAGGAGTCACTATAGGGAATCCTATAAATAACAAGTTTAATAACATAATTAAAGATCACTCAGCTCTTTGAAATAGTCATGAATTGCATCAAAACAAGTACAGTATCACCTGATTTACCCAGAAGTCACTTGCCCGACAACTTCAACTATCTGGACCACAATGGAGAACTTAGAAGGAAGAGGGGAGATGTCTCCAACCAACCAAAATTGATGTCTGAACTCAAGATCATGTGTTTTGCTTAGAGGAACCCTCATTCAGAATTCATTTACTTTTGGTTTAAATCCACATGTCGCAATAATAGTTTAGCCAGCCTGGAGTCCACCTGTCAAGATGGACCCCTTGCCCCACACCGCAGTGGCTGTGGGGCCTTGGGTTTGTTACGTACTCTGTGATGGGCATAATGGCCCTGTCTCCCTCAGTGGGTACTGTAACACTGAGAAAACTAGATGGTTTTTTATTTTAGATATACATTTAGATAAAACATTTAGATGTTTTTATTTTAGATGTTGTTTAGATATTTTGTTATTCATAGATCTTACCTTGTGACTGTTCACTGTAATAATAAATTACAAGGAAAGCACGATTCTGATAACAGCATTTATTGAGTACTTTCTATGTGCCAGGCTCTCTTTAAGTGCAATACATGAATTTACTAATTTCTTCTTCATAATAATCCTATAAGATAGGTGCCATTTTTATCCCTACTTTGCAGATGGGCAAGCTGAGGTACAGAACAGTTATATAATTTTACCATAAAGGTGGCCTTTCTCTAGGACATTTGCTCTAATCACTATTCTACACTGGGAAGGACGGCAGCAAAGCACAGACTGGTCCCATGTGTGCACAGCAGGGAAAAGTCTGGGAGCAGTGGGGAGAAATAAGAGGTAGAGCTCGTCCCTCAAAGACTGAGACCTTAGTGGTTTGAGACATTAAGAGAGAGGTGAAATGTAGTGAAAACCCATAACTATTTCTTCTATAGTAATTGTTTAAAAATGTTCCTTTTTTTCCTTCTGTCACAGGATTAGCCGAGTAGAGGAGTCAGCTCTAAGAGCTCTGCGAAACAAGTTGTTTGCTCATTCCTCAGATCTTCTTGATGAATTTAAGAAGCATGATAAAGATAAAACTGGTAAGACTAATGAAGTAAAATATTCACAGGGGAAGGAAACTGGGCAAAAAAATCTTTGTTTCACAGTAGTTAGCAAATAAATATTTGTTGAATGAGCAGATGACCAAAAGACCTCTCTGACCACTTCCTCCATTTTATTCAACTTAATGTCCCAGTTATCTTTTCTAAATTTTAAAATCCCGTGCTCTTAGCAGAATATGAACTTGGCTGAATATAGATGGAGATGGTGAAAAGGAATGGAGTCAAGGGAAGGGTGACAAGGCCAGAACTAAGCAAAAAGCAACAGGTGACCTTGGATGGGTGACTCAGTTTGTTGGAGTGTCATCCCAGACACCAAAAATTTTATGGGTTCAATTCCTGGTCAGGGCACATACCTAGGTTGGTGGTTCGATCCCCAGTCTGGGCACATACAGGAAGCAACCAGTCTCCGTATGTGCCTCTCACACTGATGTTTCTCCCCCAGCCCCTTTCTCTCTAAAATCAATAAAAACATGTCCTCAGGTGAGGATTTAAAAAACAAAACAGGTGGAGCAGGTTACAAGAGTGTATCCAAATAACATATCAATAATTTGGCTTCTTGTTGTTGTTAAGAGTGTATTAGGTTGACCAAAAAGTCCATTAGTTTTTTCCATAAAATACAAGACACATTTTTCATTTTCACCAATGATTATTGATTTGGATATTTTGAGTATGTCAGCTATCTCCCATGTGGTAGAACATTGATCGTTCTCAATTAATGTCTTGATCTGAATGCTATCAACTTCAACTGGTCTACCCAGCTGTGGAGCATCATCCAGTGAGAAATCTCCAGCATGAAACTTTGTACACAACTTTTGACATGTTTGGTCAGTCACAGCACCTTCTCCATACACTGTACAAATCTTTCATGTGTGTGTGTTTCAGTTGCATTTTTAACCTTTCTTGAAATAATGAAACATAATATGCTGAAATAGTTGCATATTTCCTTCCATCTTCAATATTAAAATGACTACACAAAAATCCACCAGATAAGTTTTTTTAAATGTATGCTGATATGACAGCTGTCACAATACAATCTAACAAAATTGTTCTGAATGAAAGTAAAGACAACTAAACCCTACTAGATCCATCTTATGGAAAAAAAGCAAACAAACATTTTTTGCCAATCCAATATTTATTTGTTCCATGTTCTATTAATCAAGTTAGAAAATTTCTCAGTTCAGTGAGATATGTAAAGAACATTGGCTACATGTACCCATATAAGACAGCAGTAACTGTAATGTAGTCATAGCAATATCTTTTCCTGTACAAATAAACAACCAATGCTGTATATACATAATGGTTTATAATGTTATTTGTAAGAGTCTTGTGTGACTTCCAGTAGCATTACCATATTTAGCAAATAAAAAGAGGATGCCTAATTAAAGTTGAATTATAGACAGATAACAAGTAATTTTTAGATATAAGTAGGTCCCATGCAATATCTGGGACCTACTTATACCTTATGGTCTGTCTGAAATTCAAATTTAACTGAATATCCTGTGTTTTATCTGGCAACCCTACTTTCCAACGGTACTTTCTCTACCATGACCAACAGAAGTAGTGACAGGGCCCATTATTTCTATTACTTCCAGATAGTAAGAAGAATGTCAGGGTAAAAAGTATGCACTGTTAGGCAGCAGACGGGACTTGTAGGTGACAAGGCAGCAAGTCGGCTCTTTCCCGTAGGTGTAATCCCCCTGGGGAAATGGGCCGCAGCCGTGGAGTCCGTGCTGCGCCTAGGACTGCCGTGGCGGGTGCTGAGGCCACAGCTGGTGAACAGCGCGGCAGGTGCCATGCTGCACTACGAGTCCTGGCTGGAGGACGTGGCCAAAGAACAACCGAATTACAAGGTAATGGTGAGAAAATGGTGGACAGGGGTAGGTTGTGGACCGTGAAGCCGCTTATGGGGAACTTTGAACCAGAAACAAATATTGAGAACCCACACAAGAAGATGGGTGAGAAAAGGAACAACTATTGGCTGAGCTTCCATTAGTCAGACTTTACGTTAAGGGATTTACATGTGTTGCTTCAGTTTATCCTTAAAATCACCCCAAGAGATAGGTAGTATTAGCTCCATTATACCCATGAGGACACTGATCACAGAGGCTGAGGTCTGGCTGATCACCAGAGGCTGCCTCAGGTCACAAAGTGTGTAAGTTATGGAACTGAGACTCACACCCAGGTCGACTTCCATTGCTTCATGCTGTTGTTTCCATTAAATAAAAGTATTTATTCTATAAACACTTATTGAATGTGTAATGTATATGAAGCCATGGGCTAGGTACTTTTAAAAATAGCTTTATTGCAATATAATTCACACTCTATACAATTCTGCCATTTGAAGTGTACAATTTAATGGTTTTAAGTACATTTGCAGATGTGTGCAGCCACCACCATGGTCAGTTTTAGAACATTTTTATCATAGGCTACATGATAAACCATTATATTATTTGGCAGACTGAAGCGGGTTGAAGGTGAAAAGACAGTCAGACATGTTCAGGTTTTTTTAAGAGTGTTTTATTGTCAGGATTGTTTGTGTGTTGATTATATATTAGGACAAGCTAAGAGAGGTACAGAAGGAAAATGAGATTTTTTTCTTGCAGAATGTACAGTCAAGTTTGCTGGAAACACTGTATCGAAACCGATCCAACCTGGAGACCATTTTTAGGATCATAGACAGTGATCATTCAGGTAAAGACACTCATTATCCTAGCACTTCTGACACCCAGCACGTATTTGGCCTCCCACCCTTTGGTCTTTCTCCTGATTATTTAGCTCTCTGCTCAAGCACTTTGGGGACCAAGTAAGTAATGACAATGCTTATAAATGGCAGAAACTAGAAAAGTACTTGAATGACTACGGAAATTTATGTAGAAGAGGATTTGGGCAGACAGAATGAAGACAAACTGAGTAAGAACTTCTTACAGGAAGAATGACTATTAGTAGATGGGATAGCCCTTACGGTTCTATGAAACCTAGCCACAGAGTAACGGCGAGTGCCTAGGACAAAAAAGGCCTTTGCGATCTCATTCCCAAAGTATTTTTAAAAACCTTTTCACTTTGAAATACTTATAGATTCACTTTGAAATACTTATAGATCCAAAAATGTACAGGGAGGCCCTATATACTCTCACCCTGTTTCCCCAAAGGTCCAAGGGCCTTTTTCAATGTTATTACACCTTTATTTTTTTTAAAGTATAATTCACATACCATATAAATTACCCATTTAAAAAGTTCAGATCAGTGGGTTGGTTTTTTTTTTTCACTATATTCACAAGTTTGTGTGACTATCTCCACTATCTAATTTCAGAACATTTTCATCACCTAAAAAGAAACTCATACCCATTAGCAGTCACTCCTATTCCTTGTTCCTTCTTCACCAGCACCTGGCAAATTATTAATCTGCTTTCCATTTTTATGGGTTTGCCTATTCTGAACATTTTCTATAAATGGGTCCATATAGTATATGGCCTTTGGTACCTGGCTTCTTTCACTTATAATGTTTTCGAGGTTAATCCATGTTGTAGCACATATCAGTTCTTTATTACTTTTATAGTAGATAATATTCTCTTGTATGAATATACCACATTTTGTTTACCCATTCATTAGCTGAAAGACATTTGAATTGTTTCCACTATAGCTGTTATGAATGATGCTGCTATGAACATTGATGTTCAACTTTTTATGTGAACATGGTTTCAATTCTCTTAGGATATATTCCTAGGCGTACAGTTGCAGAGTCATTGAATAGCCTTGGAACCCTTGTAAAAAAAAATCAATTGACCATAGATATAAAGGGCCAAAGGCTTTTTAAAAGCAGAATAAATTAATATATATTCAGGATGATTGCTCGGTTTCTCAGCAGTGGCATGATTGATATTTTTCTCTGAATAATTCTTTGTTTTGGAGTGCATCGTATGCCATATAGGATGCTTAGTAGCATCCTTAACCTTTACCTACCAGATACCAGTAACACCCCACCCTCACCCCAGTCATAACAATCAAAAATGTCTCTAGAGGGAAGAGGTGCAAAAACTGCTTGCAGTTGAGAACCACTGTTGATGTAGTAGTTTTGTGCCATTTCCTTGGGATTTAAATTAGACACTAGGCCTTGGTTGTCTTTGTCGTTTAATAGTAGGGAGCAGGTGTTCTTGTAAGAATGTCAGAGAAAATGATCATTGAAAAGTAAAATAACTGAAGCACCTTCTCCTCTCCGGTAAGGGTTCATCTCAGTGGATGAGTTCAGGCAGACTTGGAAGCTGTTCAGCTCTCATATGAAGGTCGACATCACAGACGACTGTATCCGTGACCTTGCCCGGAGCATTGACCTCAACAAGGACGGCCACATCGACATCAACGAGTTCCTGGAGGCCTTCCGCCTTGTAGAGCAATCCTGCTCAGAGGGCAGGGACTCAGACTGCCCTCAGGCCCCGACCGCCACTGGGAGTGGCTCCAGCAGGCCAGGAGCGCACTAGACAGTTTGGTTTCTGCTACCCATCTTGTTTCATAAGTGATGCCAAGCTTGTCACTGTGATAGCTCCCTTCTTCTCCATTGGTTTGTGGAACATTATGCTGAGAATTTGCTGACCAACATGCATCACAATCACCTGTGTATTTATGGGTGCAGTGTGGTATGTATGTGTGTGTGTGGTATATATTTAAATATTTCAGTGTAACCCCATCTCAGGATTTTCACAAGGTGAGACCCAGGTATAAGCATTTTTTAATTCTGAAGTTGACCCCATTATGAATCACTGATCATTCAACCCCCTCATGGTTTCTACTTTATACCTTTTATTTATTGTTTTAAAAATGTCATATTGGTACAGAAAAGCAATGGAAAATCATTTATGTAATCCCATGACCCAAACATATGGATTCTCTTTATTATTTATGTTTTTCTTACTATAACTATAGTATTATATAATTTAATGTTCTGCTTTTAAAAATAAATCCACACACTTAATTATAAATACTTTCTTATGTTGCTACATAGTCTTCAAAATTATTAGTTTAAAGGCCGCATAATATTTTTTCAAATGGATGTACTATAATCTGTTCAGACGTTTGTCAATTGTTCAGCATGCGTTTCGTTTCCAGTTTTTCTTTATTATAAGAAACACTGTGGTTAATAACTTTGTGCATATAGTTTTTTCTACAAAAATCTTTTTTTGTTTAATTTTTATTTTTTATTTTATATTTTATTTATTTATTTTTGGAGAGAGGGGAAGGGGGGAAGAGAGGAAGAGAAACATCAATAGGCAAGAGAAACAGTAGCTGGTTGTCTCTCTCACACTCCAACCAGGGACCTGGCCCACAACCCAGGCCTGGGCCCTGACTGAGACTCAAACTGGCAGCCTTTTGGTTCACAGGCCAGAGCTCAACCCACTGGGCCACACCAGCCAAGGCTAATCTTTTAAATTCTATTTTATTGATTATGCTATTACAGCTGTCCCATTTTTCCCCCTTTGCTTGACTCCGCCCAGTACCCCCCACATCCTTGGGGGGCACCTTGGGGGACACCATTGGTGTAGGCACCATTGTTCATGTCCATGGGTCACGCGTAGGTACTTTGGCCACTCCATTTCCTATACTGTACTTTCCATCCCCATGGCTAATCTGTAACTACCTATTTGTACTTCTTAATCTCCTTACCTCTCCATCCATTCCCCTATACCTTCCTACAATCTGGCAACCATCAAAATGCTCTCTGTATCTATGATTCTGTCTCTGTTCTTCTTGTTTGCTTAATTTGTTTTTTAGATTCAACTGTTGATAGACATGCACTTATTGCCATTTTATTGTTCATAGTGTTGATCATCTTCTTTTTCTTAAATGAGTCCCTTTAATGCTTCATAAAAAAATGATTTGGTGATGATGAACCCCTTTAGTTTTTCCCTTGCCTAGGAAACTCTTTATCTGCCCATTGATTCCAAATGATAGCTTTGCTGGATAGAGCAATCTTGGCTGGAGGTCCCTGCTTTTCATGACTTTGAATATTTCTTGCCAATCCCTCCTAGCCTGCAAAGTTTCTTTTGAGAAATCAGCTGACAGTCTTATGGGAACTCCCCTGTAGCTAACGAAGTGCTTTTCTCTTGGTGCTTTTAAGATTCTCTCTTTGTCTTTAACTTGTGACATTTTCATTATGATGTGTCTTGCTGTGGGCCTCTTTGCTTCCATCTTGTTTGGGACTCTCTGTGTTTCCTGGACTTGTCTACTTCCTTCACCAAATTAGGGAATTTTTCTTTCATTCTTTTTTCAAATAGATTTCAAATTTCTTGCTCTTTCTCTTCTCCTTCTGGCACCTCTGTGATGCAAATGTTGGAATACTTGAAGTTGTCGCAGGGGCTGCTTACACTATCCTCACTTTTTTGGATTTTTTTTCTTGTTGTTCTGATTGGTTGTTGTTTTTTGGTTCCTTACGTTCCAAATCATTGATTAAATTCACAGCTTCATCCACTTTACTGTTGTTGCCCTGTAAATTGTTCTTTATTTCAACTAATGTATCCTTCATTTCTGATTGGATCTTTCTTAGGCTGTTGAGTTCCTCACTAAGTTCCTTGAGCATCCTAATAACCAGTGTATTGAACTCTGCATCTGATAGATTGCTTATCTCCATTTTGTTTAGCGTTTTTTCTGGAGTTTTGATTTATTCTTTCATTTGAGCCACATTTCTTTGTCTCCTCATTTTGGCAGCTCCCCGTGTTTGTTTCTATGTATTAGGTAGAGCTTCTATGTCTCCCTGTCTTGGTAGCATGACCTAATGTAGCAGGTGATCTGTAGGGTCCAGTGGCACAGCCTCCCTTATCACCCAAGTTAGGTTCTCGAGGTGCACCCTTCATGTGGGCTGAGTACACCCTCCTCTTGTAGTTGAGCTTTGGTTGCTGTTGGCAGGTCAGCTGCAAGGATTGGCTGTGACCACTGACCACCAACTTCTGCCCTCTGTGGAGGGTCAGCTGTACAGGGCCAGGGTGGTGGTGCTCTGACATGGTCTGTAGCTGCTTCCTGGGTGCACGGGCCCTGGTGTTTCCTGGGTGGTGCAGGCCAAGGTTAGCCCCAACTTGTGTTTTGCCCAGGGTCACCTGCCTGAGCTATAAAGCAACTTGAGATAGCTGCTACTTGTGCTACTTGTGCTGGGCTTGGAGATTCTCAGCCAACGCGACACTGAAAAATCTAAGCTGGCTGTTGCTAATACCATGCCTGGGACCCCTTAGCAAGAGGTGCAGAGTGGTGGACTGCAGGCTCACTGAGCCTGGCTGTTGCTTGTTTAAAAGGATTTAGAAAGGGTGAAGCATTAGGCAAGACCAGCCTTTCATATGGAAAAGCCACTGTTAACAGCTGTAAGTTAGGTGGGATGGAGCCTCCAGGATGGGGCAAAGTGTTAGCCACATTGTTGGAGTCTCAGATATGGTACCCACCTGCCTCCTAACTCTGTGGCTCTCTGGGGGTTCAGAAAAGGGACAATGGCCTCTGCCCGACTTTATCTGGGAGAAAGCTGTTCCCCAGCTGTTGCCTTGCTGTCAGACACTTCAGTTCCTCCCTGTATGCTACTCGTGCCTTTCAAGCTGCTACCCCGGTGCTAGAGCTCAGAGGGAGTGAGTCTAAGTAAGTCCATGTGTGGGTTCTTTAAGAGGAACTGCTTGGGACCCCAGAAATTTCTTCCGCTGACTCAACTCCTGATGGTTTTTGCAGCCAGAAGTTATGGAGACTTTTCTTCCTGGCAATGGAACCCTGGGCTTGGGGCCTGGTGTATGGCTTGGGGCCTGGTGTATGGCTTGGGCTCCTCGCTCTTGAGATATCCCTCTTGAATTTTTATCCACCACTTGTAGACGTGGGGCCAGCCCGTTCTGCATCTCTGCCCCTCCCACAGTTTGGATGGATGTGATTTCTTTAATTCTGTAGTTGTCAGACTTCCATTCAACTTGATTTGCGATGGTTCTGAGTGATAGTTGTTTTATAATTGAGTTGTAATTTTGATGTGATTGTGTGAGGAGGTGGACCATGTTTACCTATCCTACCATTTTGACCAGAAATCCTCTATTTCCAAAAAAATGTTTTAAATTATACATTTTCTTAGGATCAAATTCCAGGAATGGGATTAATTTATCAAAGGGTATTTGTATTAGTCTATGAAAAGATTTACTAAAAAAAAAAAACTGGCTCATATGACAATGAGGCTGAGAAATCCCAAGATCTGCAGTCAGCAAACTGGAGATCCAGGAGAGCTGATGATGTGGTGCCAGTCTGAGTCCAAATCCAAAGGCAGGAGACGACAATGTGGCAGTTCAAAGACAGGCAGAGAGAGAGAATTCTTCCTTACCCAGCCTTTTTGTTCTGCTGGGGCCTTCAAGGAGTGGAATGAGACTGCTCACATTGGGGAAGACAGTCATGTTTACTCACTTTACTGACCCAAGTGTTAATCTCACCCAGAAACACCTGCACACAACATAAATAAGTTTAACTGAATCTCTGGGCACCCCATAACCAAGTGGACATCTAAAATTAACCATCACAGATGTGAATACTTTTTATGGCAGTTTGCTTTTCATAATTAAACAGAATTGAGTGCACCATTTTTGGAATTTTTGATGTGTGTGTGTGTGTGTGTGTGCGTACGTGTGAAACAATTACTGCTGCTGCTGGTTCTAGAACTCACATGCAGGTATATTTAGGGTTTCATGAATCTCTAAGAATCATTGTTTAAAATTTGAATGTTAATTTCAGTAGAACTCAAATCCTCCTTTTATCAGCATTTTAGTGATTTTAAAAAAGGCATAAAGTTCTTAATCTCTGGATTAATGTCCTGAAATATTTCCCAGAAACTCTTAAGATGTATAAGGAACTTCCGATATTAAGCGCAACCTCAAAACCACATCCCTTGCAGGTGTCTGTTGGAATGTTCCGGGAAGGACATCACTACTCCTAGAGACATCCTAGTTATGATCTGGAAGAGGTACATGTCTTAGAAAATTTTCCCTTTTATCAAGTATCAGCCTGGTATAAAAATCTGGAGTCAGAGATGTAGATTTCAACTCAGGCTATGGGAACTGTGAGGTCGTCTGAGTTGTGGCGGCCACACTGAGCTCCCTGCACCCTGCCCTTCAGGAGGTAGGGAGAAGCCTCAACTACCTACACAGGTGTGTTGAGATTCTGGGGGCTAGTTAACACAAACACCAAGACAGAGCTGTCTTGACATACCGTATTTTGCCATGCATAATATACTCCCGTGCACCAATGTTTTTGTGCACACTATACACAGGATTATTATACTTATGGTATGTAATCTATGTAATCATTATATACCCATGGATTATGCAAATCCTTATTTTTCCCTCAAAAATTTGGGCAAAAAGTGCTCTTTATACATGGCAAAATATGGTAACTCCCATCTTAGTCTTAAATTAAATGATACAGAGCTGAATTTCTATATTACTCATTGATCATAAACTATTTTTCCCCGTGAAGATAGTTTTAG